TAACTTTTAGGTATCATGTACACAATAAGCCAAGTACGAACGTTTTAAACCAGACATGAATCACTATTATCATGCCTTTTTACTCCCGAGTAAGCAAACGTCGAGCAGATATATAGCAAACTTATTGACCTCTACTCATTGTAGTATCAAGCCTTGTATCTTTTCTCAATGTTTTGTATACAGTGCTTAAACCAAGTGTCAGTGTGAAGAAGGTACCTGTGAAGCTGGTCGGTTATGTCATCGACACTGGGAGTGGAGAAAGGAGTGGCATGGCGTATCAATTTGGAGTATGCATCAGACTTGCCCTTCTTCTTTTGCATAGGAGAAGCTATGCCTTTGGAGAGAGCAGCCTCCAAGAGCTGGCCCGGTGTTTGCCGAGAAGGGAATGCGTGCGGGTTTATCACGATATCAGGAACTATGCCTTGGGTCGTGAAAGCAAAATTCTCCTGCTCCTCTATATAGCCTAGAACTCCCTTCTGACCATGCATACTGGAGAATTTATCTCCAAGACATGGAGAACGAACCTGCAAGTTGGAAAATACAGATCAATTGAAACGCACAGCTCAGTAAGGTATGATCTGGAATTTTACCTGTCTCAGAGAAACAGTAGCATAATTTTTCCCATCATCATTAGATGATAACACCACTTTTTGCACTATCCCTCTCTCAGTGTGCTTCAGTTTCACGCTGTGATCAGTCCCAGACTCGGTGCATCTGCCAATGACAATATCACCGCTGTGCATATTAGCACCAACAAAAGGGAACCCGTCATCATCAAGGCTGTCTACTCTGCCAATCTTGCTCTGTGTCTTTCCAAACTGAACAACCTCGTCCATCTTTTTCCTCTTCTCCGAGTCCTTGCTGTCAACATCAGCTTTATAGCTCCTGATCTGTTCTGAACGGAACATACCACGTTCCAGCGAAGCCTTGTTCATCACAATGGAGTCCTCCTGGTTGAACCCGAGATGAACATTCACAGCAACAATTGCGTTCTGTCCATTGAACAACACATCCTTCTGAAGACACTCTGACGCCATTGTCTTGAAAAGTGGCTTCTGTGGATAGAACAGCTGCTGGGAAAGGGTATCACACCGGATGTTAGGGTTCGTTGAGGAGAACCCAATGGCTTGCTGGCAATGCTTCTGGGACTGGTAGAGAACTCTTCTACCATGATCATGATTCGCAAAAGGGACAATCGCACAGCTCACACCCAACAGGAAGGACAGGTCCAATTCACAATGAGTGTAGCTCTTCTGCTCTTTCAGAAGCTGTCTGATTCCCCATGCGGTGGTACAGTCTTCTTCTTCCTCAATCCCGATCAGCTCGAGAATCCCTTGGTCAAGAAGATGCTCAAAGATGTACTGCGATGGCTTACTTTGCTTCAGCTTGTGGAGATTTTCCACAACCATGAGAGGTCGGAGAAGTCTGCCAGCGTCAGTAAAGATCCTCACCTCCTTGTCATCTTTATCTCGCTTGATTTCCATCTGCAAAGAATGACACAGAGACGTTTGTAAAGTGTAACAAGACCCAAGGTAAATACAAGATATCAAAATAGCACAATACTTTGTTAAAACAGAAGATACCTGGCGAGGTAATTCACTTTGACGCCGCCTGCTTTTTAACTCTGCAACAAACTCGTCAGCCTCTGAACATACTCCAACCCAGTCTCCATTAAGAAGAACTTTGTGTTTCCCGCTCAGTGGTGTACTGGTATCGTCCACCAGCTCTTCCATTCCACTATCGAAGAGTTTTTCCACCACAGGCTCCATAATTTGGGTGCTGACCAGTCCAAGGAGAGAGAGGTTCTTCACAAGACCACAATTTTCGCCATCTGGGGTTGACAAAAAGCATACTCTGCCCCAGTGAGAGGGATGCCTGTTGCATACATTATAAACAATGAAGTCACATTTCAGTTTTCAAAGTCAAAAACGCATTGTTAAGTTCCCAACAAAGTTCCATTATTTCACAGCTCACATTACAATGTAACTAAAATGGGTAACCTCAGTGTCGACATCAGGAAAATACACAAGATAGAGTGACTACGGGAAAGGGAAACAAGAAAGACAGTATCGGAATTTCTTAATAGCAATATATCTAAACAAAATCAGTATAAATTTGGGTCAAGCATAGGACTCTGCAGGAAACAGTGATCATCATCATAACTATATGAAAGAGTCTAATACCAATAAAGACATGCAAGACCGCGCGTATACTTATATTTCAAACAAACCAGGGGGTTTTGGAAATTCCACTTACGGATATCTGGCATCTCCAACTCTGCCGGTATACAGGACCTGTTGTCGCGTTCTCCTCAGGTCAATCAAACTCTGAAGTGGATTTGCACGACCCAGATTAGCTACAACACCTGAAACCCTTTCCATCTTCCTGAAAGGATGACACCATGCTCCAGTGGAGAAGGCTCTGCTAAGTCCATTTGTTACAATGGAAGCATCCAAATAGTGCTCGATGGGCTTCAGATCGCCATCGCCTGTGAGGTGTCTCTGCATGGCTTTGGTCATTGTTCTTCTAGCATGCGCCAGATGCACCCTTAATTCCCTTTCCAGCAGCTCTCCAGCTAGTTCGATCCTCTTGTTCCTAAAGTTGTCTCTGTTCTCACACTTTCGTTTCCCAGCATATGCGCTAAGCAGGCAGCTCACCATGTAGCCCAGGAATCGTGCTTTCTGCTTCAAACTCTTAAGGCCTGGAAACAGGTACAGAGTTAGGCATTCATCCACACTCTCTCCAGGTGGGAATTTTGTGTTTTTTATCTGCTGTTCAACATACGCGAGAGCATTTCTCCCATGACGAAAATCTTCACAAACCAAATCAGCTTCCTGGATCGAAGCAATGACACTGTTGGTAATGCTTGCATCACCACCATCGAAGGCAATCAGATCGACAGCCTCCTTGTCGGACGCAACACCCAAAGCGAAGAACAGGACCCAGACAGGGATCTCAGTTGACAGAAAGTACACTGTCAGTACTTTCTCCCTTCTCTTGAAGTCTTCAGCTTTCTGATTCTCTGATAGACGCACGATGAACCGATTCCTCTTGGTTTCAGACCTGTAGTTGACTGTCCATGGTGAATTAGAAATCCAAAGTCTCTTATTGCATATCTGTTCTTGAGCAATAAAGACCTGCAAAACACATTTCTTCACGTCAGGAACTTGTATAACAGCTTGCAGCTTATTTTCCAGCATATACAGAGTATTAGAACGAACGAACCAAAGAAAGCAAAAAAAACGTTGTCAGCAGTTGAAACAGTTTAGGCAAATAGGAGCAATGCATATTACGTGAAGAAGGCACAATCCAACCACTAAAACAGTTCAGATACAACCCCATGAGAGCAGAAATGCAAATATTTGGTGTAATGTAACTCACCTTCTCAGCTCCTTTGATGACAAAGTATCCACCCTGGTCAAATGCACACTCCCCCTTCTCCGTTGAGTTGCAAAGCACAGACCTCACCATCACGGGTAGCCTACCAATTGGGATGTCCTGCGTCTTCTTAGACAGGATCTGCTTCTCCACATACTCGTCTTGTCCCGTCTTGAACTTGTCTCTTTTAACAACTTTCTTAACGAACACCTAGTCAATTTATAAAGCCAAGAGTCAGCTACACAACAAAACATTAAAAAAGGTGAAAACTTGAATCATTTTTTCTATACCTCAACATCGACATTAACTTTCATCCTGGCCGAGTAGGTCATGTTCTGAAGTCTAGCATGCCGGGGGAGAAACACAAGCTCCTTGTCATCAGAGTACAAGGTCGGCTTCTCCACGCTGACCTCTCCGAACTTCACGGTGGCGTATCTCCACTCGTGGTCCTTGTTCTTGGTGGGATCAAAGGACGGCTCGACGAGCATCTCACCGGAGGAGTCGAACACGCTCTGGAGCCCGTGCTCGATGAAGAAGTTGTAGGAGTTGAGCTGGTGGCTGACGAGGCCGTACTCGTCGAAGAAGGACGTCGCCGCTTTCTTGCAGAAGCTCTGGAGGAAAGGCTCCCCTAAGTCCCGTAGATCGATTTCCCCGGCGGCCTCGATCTCGTCCATGTCCCTATCAGTCATGTTTTAAAGAAACCCTACGCACAAAGAAATACCCTAAAACCAAGTTAGGGAAAACGATTGAGAACTCGCTAAGATCATCAACAACACAAATGCATGTCTCGGTCCCTAAAATTTTCATCAAACCCTAAACATTGTCCGAACACAAAAAAAAAGAGTAGAATTTCGAGAACCCCAAAGCTTAAAGAGCAGAATCAGACTTTGGTGGAGAGAAGGAGCGCGTAAACGTACCGGTGGAGTGAAACGGCGGTGGCAGTGGAGAGTAGAGTTAAACGTCGTCGCCGGGAAAGTCTCTAAAAATGTCTGATGAGTGAAAAACCCTTAGTCGCTCAGTGTGTGAGTGAGGACGGGAGATGAAACCAAAAGAGTGTCGCTTTGAATGACGGGTGTACCCCTACGCTTGTTTTGCGCCTGTGTGATTCAGAGAGGGTACTGATGTCAATTTAGTGGGTAGCTATTTATTTCCTTGCATTTTTCAATTAACCAAATACGATGACTCTTGCATTTTTCAACTAAAGAAATATTATGGAAGTTATGAATGAAAAATGCAAATGTATTGGTGCTTCATCTTTTTTTTCTTCTGCGTTGAAATGTCAAATAAAATCAGTACTCACCCATGGACCAAATGGTTTCTAATTAAAATTTATCAGCATTGCACCTGTTATTATACAATCTGTTTACATATTGTCACAATGCAGTCACACAAGGACGAACCAGCCTTAGTCAAACTCTGAATGAATTCTCGATGGTTTGGTTGTATAGTGAGACATTTAAGAGAACAACAGTTCTAGTAATGAAAAACTTTAGTATTCAAACATATATCACAGCCAAAATCATTCAACGATCACTGAACATAGAAGAGAAGTCATAATCTCAAGTCCAAGTCTCTATCAGTAATCTGATAAGCAATACATGTATAACTCGACACCTCATTTTCACACACACACAAAAAAAAAAAAACAGAAAGTATTGTGTTTGACAAAGATATGCAGACAAAAAGACTCGCACACACCAACAAAGCGTCACAGACACACGGCCATACAAAAGATCCGAAGCCTTCAGAAGTAGTAAAATATTTTTCCAAAGAGACAAAGAGGAGCTTCCCAGAGATCTTTACAAAACCCACACCTCAAGTAGTTAAGCTCCAAACCCGGATACAAGCATCTTCACCAGAACTCACGACATGGGTATCATCAGCGAAACCCAGTCCATAAACTCCACCTAAATGCGCTCCTTTTATGGTCATCCGTGTGGAAGCTGGTTTGTCCACTTCATACACAATCACACACGTGTCCAAGGATCCCGTAGCAACCATAGTGCTGTTTGGAGACCAAGCTAGGCAGTTTATGCGAGCGCTATGGTACAACATGTTCTTGAGCTTCATCTGTTTCGAAAAATGAGATGATGTAAGATCAGTGTTAGAGTGGGACAGGTTTTTAAATAATCTTTAGTTACCTCTCTGGAGGCTCTGTCCCATACAACTGCTTCTCTGTTCAAATCAGCTGATGCAAACATAGACAAATCTGGGGAGTAACGAATGACGCTGATGGCGCCTCTGTGTTTCTCAAGAACTGCTTCCTCGTTGAGAGAGTCGCCATTCACAGAATACAGACGGAGCTTACCGTCTTGACCCCCGACAATGGCTTCAGTTCCATCAGGTGTTACGGCCAGAGCAGTGACGGTGAACCCAAGGTTGATGGTTGACACTACTTTCTCACCACGGAGAAACACAACTCCTGATTCAAAGGTCACCAGAAGGAGACCAGGTGAGAGTGGTGCAAGGCTTAGATCATTTGGTTGGTTTCCAACGCCAACAGACTCTTCGTTTGTGACCTGACCGTCTTGATAAGAGATCCTCGATATCTATATAAGTATCAAACAGTAAACGAACGCTATTAGCTGCTTAGTTCATCAGTAAAGACCATACAATCAATTTGAAAACCATATTAAGTTGACAAAGGTGAAAAACAACTTACCGTATTGTCAAATCCAGATGTGATTATTTCAACTTCATGAGCAGCAAAGCACTTTATCTGAGAGTTCTGCTTTCGCTGCAATTTACCGCAAAAACCACGGCCCATCATCCATTTACATATCAGACCATCATAGCTACCGGATAGTATGTAGTCAGAATTTCCTCTGAGCACAGACAAGGAAGAGATGTTCTTCATATGTCCCGAGAACTGGAAGGGGGATTTCTCAAGATCGCTTGCTGAGAATATGCTGATTGTTCCACCTAGAGAAACAGTGACAATATGGTCGTTTTGCCACAGACACCCGACAAGCATATCGTCCACACCACCTGATGATCCTGGACACGTCAATGTGATCTTCAATGTTCCGTTACCAGAATCCGAGATTTCCCATATTTTAGCTGACTTGTCTGCAGATACAGTGAGGACCTGGTTGGTCATTCAAACATATACAACAAGTGAGTACAGATGCAGCTTCAACCATAATGTAATCAATAATAAAAATCTACCACAGAGTCTTCATACAAACAGCCAAATTCTAGGCCACAGTATAGTTCATGCATCTACAACTAGAATTAATATCATATGCTATTCTTATAGACTCTACTTAAGCGGCCTGATGCAGTCTGAGTCTGACAAGACGGATTCAGACAAGAATAATATATTACAACAAACAGGCATAACATAGTACCTCTTTGCCATCAGGACTCCAGCTAACCGCATAGATGCTACCTTTATGCCCATCTTCAGATGAGAGTTGTCCAAGTTTCTCACAAGTCTTTCCATCATATATGATTCCCTTTTTATCTGAACTCACAGTAATGAACTTGCTTCCATCAGGTGAATACCTCACACAGTTGACAAAGTTGGAATGCTCTCTGTTGATCAACAAGCACGTAAGTAATTCCGAAACAACCAAAGCACGAAACTGAACAGATACAAAAAAAAAAAAAAGTATCTTTATCAGACCTGCTTGAGAGCTTGAACTTGAAAGGAGGGCCTTCGTAGAAATTAACCAGAAAATCCTCTCCGCAAGTAACAATGCGGAAGGGTCTGGTCGGCTTGATAGCGCAGCTAAGAACACGCCTGGAATGTCCATCAAACTCTCCCACATTCGATCCTGAATCCCACCTAACATTGGTACAAAAACCTTTCCAGTCAAAACAAAACAAAACAAGACAGGAAACAAGTCAAGAATCTGTCACCAGTACACTCAGTTCCATCTGATTTCAACAATTCCAATGCAACAATCAGCAGAAAAAAACCCATAAACTTGGACTAATTGGTCTAACTCAATGCACAGGAAACAAGTCAAGAATCTGTTATTGAGACACTGAGTTCGATCTGATTTCGAAAAATCCAACGCAACAACAGCAGAAAAACATAAACTTGGACTGATCATTCGAAGTCAATGCAAAGGAAACCGAGTCAAGAGTCCGTCATTGATACACAGAGTTCGGCCGTATTCAACAAATCCAACGCAACAATCAGCCGTAAACTTAGACTAATCCATTCCAAGTCAATGCAACAAAACAAAACAAGAAAGGCAACGAATCAAGAATCTATCATTGATAAACTAAGTTCGAATCTAATTCAACAAACTCCATACAACAATCAGCACACACACACACACAAACATAAACTTTGACTAATCAATCGAAGTCAACATAAAAAAAAAACATCCGATTCAAATCAAATCAATCCCTAAGATCAGAAACAGCTTCATTGTGAGCGAGTGTAATAGTCCTAACTAACTAACTAACTAACAACTCACATGAAAGCACGAACGAGAGACTTCCCTTTCCCATCACCAGAAGCAACGATCCTCATCCCATCGTCCGACCACTGCAGATCATCGATCCTCCCAGCCAAAACCTTAAACTCCTTCTTCAAAACATGATCGTCACGAGCTCCCCATATTCTCACTGTCCCGGAGACATCCCCCGACGCGATCCACTCTCCGTTTGGGGAGTATCGCGCAACGGTAGCGGGGTAAGCGTGTTCTCCGTAGATGGAGACTTTCAAGGGGTTGTTGAGGTCGAGGATCACGACGGATCGGGCGTTGGTGTAGAGGATGGTGTCGGACTTGGAGTCGCCGGAGATCAGGATTCCGCGACCTCTTTCGGTCGAAGGGATGCAGGCGTAGGTTTCGGCGAGAGTCATAGTTTGAGAAGACTTTGGGGAGGAGATCGGGGATTGAGTGTTTTCGGGGTTTACGGGGATCGTGAAGGAAAGGTAAGAGAGGAGAAGGAGACCACACAGAGACGAGGAGAAAATGAAAAGGACGGTTATTATTTTAAATTGCTTTTGTTTTAAATAATTTAAGATATAATGTAATGATTATTGGCACATAAACCATTGGGTAAAATGGAATTTCATCACATAAAATGAATTTAAAATTCTGGCTATGGACGGTTTTGAGACTTTTGATATAAGCTGTAATTTTCGAGAATTAAATGATCATTGTCACCATAACACAGTGCTTCACAATAGTTCACAACTTCACTTGACCACCAAAAACAAAAACTAAAAACTAAAAACAATACACATACAATACTTAGATAAGTTAGTTTTTTAAGAAAAATTTTCCAATCTTTAGTAGCGGCAAAGAAAATTTTGATGGTAAACATTATTATTAAATAGTTTTATGAGAATTATAATCCAATAGTTTTATGAGAATTATAATCTAATTAATTTTATAATCTGTAAACATTATTATTAAATATCTAAACTGATGGTATCAATAAATAAAATGTAAAAATTTCTGCAAGATCGCATGCCATTGTTTTCAGTTTATTTAATACTAGGTATTTTATCCGTACATGCGGGCTTAATTATATTTAAGTCAATTTTAAAAATCATAAAAATAAATGATTTTTTGCATCCAAAAAATTCGACCTAAAACATTAAATTTTTTTTACATAATAAAGTTATTCACAAATTAAAATTATAGTTTTTCCTTTAAAATTTTGCAAAATCTAAAGTCTATTTTATTATTTTTAATTGATAAAAGATACAGAAATCTATCTTTTAATTTGAAAAAATTGAATCGATAAATATACATGCAAAAATTGATCTTACAAAAAAAAAATATTAGTTTAGTTAATAATACAATATATTTGAATTTATTTTTGTCAAACATATATTTTTTTCTTTTTGAACGATCTTTTATTTTATTATGATTAATTCATATTTAAGGTTTAACTATATAAAATATATAAATAAATTTAATTTTGTGAGGGGCAAAAAATAACTTCACAAATATATATCATTATATTATATTATTATATTATTATATTCTTTTAATTTAAAAATAATTACGTATTATAAATTTTTCAATTTTCTCTTTTCAATTATATACAATTAAAAATTTTACTTTTGTGTTTTCTGTTTTTTTTTAATTTTTTTCTTAAATATATTTTTCGGATAACAACACAATATATATATAGGAACTATCTTTTTATTTTTAAATATATATTTAGATTATAGATAATTCTTATCATTATTATTAATTTAAATCATTTATCTAATCAAATAAATATTAAATTTGTTTTTATTTTTGGCTGATTTATATAATTTATTCATTAATGGTATAAACGATATTAACCACTCCAACTTTTCACGTGCAAGTTCCGTTGCGAAAAATCACTTTGCAAATAATAGTATAGATTAAAATGTATTTATAGTCTCTACAGATATAGTTTAAATACTTATATTAGAAGTTGGATATAGTTATTTTTGAAATTAAAATTGAAAATATTATTTGATTTAAAAAAAATCCTTAACTGTCATTTAAAATAATTAATGGAGACTGTGTAGAATAATTTTAAGCAATCATAACTATTCTATCTACAAAGAAATTTTTTAACCCTTCCATAGAAAAGTTAGCAAACACTCTTGTTAACTGATTTCATAATCTAATCTATTAAAGTAGATGGAACAAATTGATTGACAGTACAAAACATGAGAGACTTACATAGAGAGACACATTGTGTCTTTTCTTTGCCTTAAAAGACACATTGAAAAATTAGCACACAATATGTGTACAACTGTCTTTTTTTGGACGAAAATGACCTTACCATTATGTAAGTGATAGTTTGTTTTAGTTAGAAGGTAAATTAAGAGAAAAAACTAGAATATTTAACTAGTTACAATTAATGAAAAAAATTTAAAATAAAAGGTAGACTTCTAGGTAATAGTGAGAGAACCATAGACGTAGGATTTTCTTTTTGCAATAAGATCTAACAGCTGGAAGAAGCTTGGAGTGTAAAGTTCTGATACTGGTGGGATGTTGTTCTTGAGGCCCGAAAATAATATACAACGTGCTACTTAGCTGTGGTCATGGACGTGTAGCAATGGATGGTTACTAATGGTTAAACTAAGGTAGTTTATATTGTGGTTGTGGATACGGGTTGTAAACACATGAATTGTGGACACAATTGTTGTGGTTGTGGTGAGAGACATACTAAGGTGAATACATATGTGTGGACAAGAAATGATTGTGGACACGGGTGTTGGACACAGATTGTAGACACACGGGTTGTGGACACAGATTGTAGACACACGGGTTGTGGTGAGAAGGATAAACATGAATCTCAAAATAAATCGAATTTGACAGTAAAAATTCAGAGAAGAGAGAGAGACAAGTTACTGTCAGCTATAGAGTTCTTGAGTTGTTCAAAAGCAGAGATGCTTGCATAATTAGATGGAGAAAGCTTGCAACAAGTTGTGGACACGGATTGTAGACACACAGGTTGTGTACACAAGTGTTGTAGTGAGAGGGGTAAACATGAATCTTAAAATAAATCGAATTTGACAATAAAAATTTAGAGAAGAGAGAGAGAGATAAGTTACTGTCAGCTATAGAGTTCTTGAGTTGTTGAAGAGCAGAGATGCTTGCATAATTAGATGGGGAAAGCTTGCAATGTGGTCCCTGGATGAGACCATGCTTGACTCTGTTGTTCCCCACAACAGAACGAACACGTTGGGCGCCATCCACGAAGATTTTGAAACGGAATCCATCATTGGCTGTCCAAGAGCATATCAACCACAACTGTATCCACCACCACCGCATCCATCGCCACTGTAACCACCACTACCGTATCCACCACCATTGTATCCACCACCACCGTATCCATCACCACCTTAACCACAAGTTTCAATCTCATATTCTTTGTTTGAAACCAAACATCTCTTCTTCTTCTTGTCTTCATCCACCAACCCAGAACAGAGCATCCATTAAGATTTCATCTCCCATTCCGGCCATAGAGGAGTTTGTTGTGGCTGTGGATTTTATTGAGATCTTGTTGATTTGGATCTACGACGAACCTGATCCTAAATTGAAGAGAAGAAGAATATGGGTTGAAGAGAAAACAATAACTCTAGATTGGTTCTCCACCAGATTTGGTATTGCAGAAGAAAACCATCGCAACGAGAGAAGATCGTGGAGTGGTGGTCGGATTGAAACCGAAGAAAAGTGACAGAATAAAAAAACAAACTTTTTATGTCTCTGTTTGGATTCTTGATTAGAGAATGCAGAGAGACTAAATTATGGATTGAGAAGTAGAGACAGAAAAAGAATCAGGGTTTGATTTGGGAATTTAGAAGAAAGAACAATGAAACAATGTTTTTAAATAAAGAAAGAAACGAAGAATCAGATTAATTATTTTAAAATAGTTTGTTCTAGTTAGAAGTCAAGGTTTATTCTAGTTAGACAACTCACCCAAACCCATTTTCACATAGTTAAGGGTTATCTTAGACAATTCACTAAGATAAAGTGTTCTCTAGGTCCAATGTGTTCTTTTGGGTAATTAGAAACTTGAAATGTGTCTCGTGAGGTAAAATTTTCACAAAACATTCACCTGATTACTAGAGAATTGTTCTTATTTTCATTTGATATATCAACCACCTGATAAATTAGACGCAATGTCATCACACCTATTTCTTGTAAGTAACTTTTTTAATCTAATCGTGCATTTGCCATAAAACTAGTTTTAGTATTTTGGACTTTATTACTTTTTAAAAGCCATAAATATGGAAATTATAAAATATGAAATTAATCTCTATAATATTATTTGAGAAGTCACTTTCTTATGTGTCGCGCTCACGTTAATTCTTACGCTGGTTGATTACTATGATACGCTTAATGAACTAAAAATATATTTAAATATTATTACTTCCTTTTTAAAATCTTCCAAATAACAATATAAAACAAAAAGGAAATATTTATAAAATTTACAAAACTATTTAAAAACGAAAAAATAAGTATATATATAATATGATTTCATAAAAAAGAAAGTTTACAAAATAGTAATATTTAACTTAAATATATTTTTAAATAACATAAATTATACTTTTTAAGTAATTATACTTTATATCTATATCTTCTTAGATGAAAAAAAATATTTGTATATTATGTGTTTTCATAAAAAAGTTCATAGAAATATCTGGATATTAGAAAAAAATGTTTTTATTTAAAAAAATAATTTAAACAATAAAATATATATTTTCAAAGTAATTAGTTTTTCTATATATCTATCTATTTTATTAGATGATTACATAAAATAATTAAGTAACATAAACTGATATATGTTTAATTGACAAAAATATATAATTTAGTATATTTATTTGATTATAATATCTTACAGATACAGTAAATTATATTTTACTTATAGAATATAATTTCTAAAAAACAATCACAATTTTACTGCATATTTTTAGAGATATTAAAAAAATAAAAAAAAATTAATAATAAACATTTTTTGATCAAATAACTACAATTCTTTTAAAATATCATAACACTATATAATTTAACGAGATAAATATATTATATTTTAATAGTTAAAATTATCTGTTTTCTTAATAACTCTCTTGATTTTTAATTTTCTGGTTTTATGTTTATGGAACTTAATATAACCATAAAAAAAATACTTTAAGTAAATCAGAATTCCTTATTTTAAAAATTATTTAAAATAAATTTCAGTTTACCATCCAATCAATCTAAGGCATAAATTATTTAAAATTTATAAAATATTTAATTATTATAAATATTGATATGTGTTCATAAGCTTCCAAAAAATATTATTACTTATGTATGTAATTTAGAATCAGACACTTTAGTTTTTATTTTTTTCGTTAGAAGCACAAAAAATCTTAAAATACATAATTTTACTAAGATATACTTATATTTATAAGATAACAACCAACATAAATATAAATAAAATAATTAATCAAAATTTAAGATATTTAGAATAAAAAAGATTATAGTTGAATTCAGAGAAATAGATAGAATTCAATATATATATATATATATATATATATATATCCAAATGATAAAACTGACTAAATATAATATAATATTATTAATATAAATTATACATAAAAACTATAAATTAATATAAAAATTAAAATAAATATCAATCAAATATTATAATATATTTATTTTATAAATATTTATGCCCGTGCATGAGCACGAGAAAATCACCTAGTTAATATATATACACAAACTTCAACCTTCTACTATGGTAAGCTTTAATCTTTCAACAAGTGTTCTAAATAATCAGTTTGTTTATTCACATGAAACAAGGAGTATGTATCAATCTTTCAAGGGAGCTGCATCCAGTTTGATGACAAAACTCAAGTGAGACCACATTAAATCAAACCGATATAGAAGATCGGGTATCTCAGCTTCTGCACGATCACAAAAAAAACATATGAACCCGAAAAGTACCTTATAATAACAATAGTTCCTACATTGTTTCAATAGCATTTGTTACACCAGCTGGGAAAGTGATCAAAAGTTTTCTCTGACAACCAGGAAATAACAAGACACAACTGTAGAGGTACCGATTCAGTTATATAATGATTATCCATCTTTTCTTTGATTTCAAAAGGCCATCGTTTAACTTTTTATTGTCTTCTTGACAGAAGGAAAAGCTTCAAAATAATAACATAGAAGATCTCAAAGTTTCACCTGAAAAACTTGAATCAGTTTCCTCTTACAAGTACCAAACACCAGGCAAAGATTGCTCGTAGAAATAGAGAAGGAAGTTGTAAACAAATTTTAGCCACGATGTCGATATAACTAATTTTGGTCCCAACACTATTTTTTCTCGCTAGATCTCTTTTACACATTGGATAGATACTTCTTTATCCGCATCACATATAGATATAGTGATAATTATGGAAATACCATGAAATTATTTTCATTTTTTCATATGATAAACATCACACAACAAATGTTTTATATGGATATTTCATTAACATATTTAAGACCTGAAGGTTAGTATTTATCATACATTATTTTATATATTATTATCTCGAATTAAAATGACGATTTAACTCATATGAGGAAAAAATAATGTTAGCATCATATAAATAGCTTTTAAAAAGACAAAATTTTTCTTTTAGTAACGAGCCAATGATGTTGGAGGCCCTTTGTTTCATAATTTTTTTCTAAGTAAATTCCATCCATTCTAGCAATCCATGAACGTTTTTCACCACATCGAACATCACTGACTCCTCTATATGCTCTCCATATTGTTTGAGAATTTTCCACTTTTTGTCCATATCGTAATAGATAACGCTATACAATTCTTTTTCTGGTATTTCGCTAAGAAGAATTTGATATTTATCATTAAATTTTACTTTGTGAAGACTATTAACTTCGTTTCTGTTGGACGAGCAATTAACTTTGAGAATACTATCTGGAATGAGTTTATTTTGAATTTCTAAAGTGTTTATAGCACATATTCCTAGACACTCTGGGGCACTCCGATTATCAATATTACACACATTGCCTTTGTTCAAATCAAAACACATAACAATAGCTAGCATAAATATAAGGTAACCCAACTTCTTATCTAAAATATTTGTTGAAGAAAGATGATTCAATAGATGTTGAAGTGCAATATATATACTATTTTGGTAAAAATGTTTTAGTATTTTTAAAAGAGTCAATTGGCTCAAAACCCATACAAAAACGGCTTGACTTCATTGCGCTATAATTTTAAATACTTTAAAATTATTTACTTTTAAATATGTGAACATTCTTATTAAAATTAATATTTTATCTCAACTAGTTAGCTGTAATTTTAAGAATTGAATGATCATTGTCATATAACAGTACTTCTCATGCCACATACAAAAAAATTATATGGCAAAAAAAAAGATTTAGTTACACAAAACAATGTTAGTTGATAGAGACAATGATAATGGAGTTCATGTTTTTCATTTGACATACAGCATTCTTACTGAAAATTAATATGAATGATTACATTGATTTGTCTTTTGAACACTTTTTAACACAAATTACATGTCAATGAGATCAATGAAAGGTATTTAAACAATATTTAATTTTATGCTCGTCGGCTAAAATGAAAGAGGTTTAAGAAGTAGCAACGTAAGTGAAAACTAGAATTCACGTCACAATTAGTCCCCAAAAGAAGAGAAAAAATGCATGTCACAATTTATACTTTCACCAATAAGAAGAAAACAAAGGCCCATGAAATAGTTACTTGAGCACAAACCAGCACGATGTGCTTTAATGCGGATCCAATAAATCCCTAGCCAGTTGCATTGGGTATTAGTAGGTTCTTTTCTAAATATACACCTAAATTTTTTAATGAAATATCGGAACATTAGTGAAGGGAACATATCATGAAGAAGTGTACCAGAAAAATAAAAATATCAGTCGTGGGGCTTGACATCACTTGGTCGCATTATCAATTATCATATGTAGTATGGTTTTGCGTGGTTAGAGAAAAGATCAGGAAAACATAACAACAAAGCTGTCACAAGTCTCTATGTCTCTCTCAAACCAGCAACAACACCACGACCCCATCACTCACATGGCTTTCTCTATTATTCTTATTGATATAGTTCTTTGATTCATTGCATTGTCCTCTTATAATTAGATCATACCGAAAATACAGTTTCAAAAAAATCGAAAATCAAAATTTTGAAAATAAATCGATGATAACAATACGACTTTTTAACAAAACGATGGTTACAACAACAACGACAAGGACAACAAAAAGCAAAACTAATTTACAAAGACAGAAACACAATCCACTCCTATCTCTCGTTCTCTCTATCTGAATGTTCACTTAACTTCTCAGCCAATCACTTATCGCCACGTCATAATCATATCCAAACCCACGTCAGCGTAAGTCACCATGACCCTAGCAAGACCAAAGTGATGACGCTGTAAAGAAAGAAGTGGACCAAGTGGTGGTGGGGGTACTGAATTAAAGTTGACGAGCCGTTAGAGAATTCGGAAGAGTCAACAGCTAAAGGCATGCCGTCACCGCCGAGAGCACATGACCGTGGCTCGCCGTTTTGGTTTAGCATAACGGCTCGGAGAACGGAAGTGACAGTTGGAAAGTAAGCCGTACGGTTCTTAGCGAGAAGCCAAGTGAGACCCATCAAGACACAGTCTTTGTTGTGCATCTTTGTTGTTCTGTTTCTGTCTTCCTTTGATGGGTTTCTTGTCCCTGACGTTTTCTTCGGGTTAAGCTGCAAAGAAAACAAATATACCACAAGTGTTTGGTCAGTGTTAGGTTAAGATATGTTGCTATACTAATGATTAAAAGATTTTTACAAAGTAGAAGTTAGTGGCTAAAGCTTTTAGTTATGGTGTGGTTGGTGATTAAGATTGCACAAGAATGACATATGATGAATGAAAGAAGTGACGCGTGGGGATCACGGAAACTATAAGAGCGTAATGTGTCAGACATGTCAGATAGAAAAGAACAAAAAAAAGCTAAAGAACAAAACTTTTTTTTCTCAAATTACCATCCGACAAGGTTGATGCACATAGGTCAGAAAGAGAATCCTAGAACAAATTATTTCCAAATCTTCCTCAGTCACTCACTCATGTAGTAAAACCCTAATGTGTAAACAATAAAGATCAATCATTAAACGGTCAAGTAAATTTACTAACTTTGTATTAGACCTTAACTATATAGTTTACTAGTTGATCTCTATTGCTTACACATTAGGGTTTTCTAAAAATAGGTGTTGTAGGCACTAAATCGGTTACAACAGAAACCATTTTTCTAAAGGATTTAGCACAACTTAGGCATTAGTCCTCTACAAATCACTTAATTACTAATCTAGCAATGTCTTGAAACATTGATATTAATCAATCTATCCAAAAAAAAAAACAGAGATACTAAACACATCAAGAACACTGAAAAGGCATAATCAAATGTTACAATATTTTGTTCTTTCAATCTAATTTAATATGATCAACTCAATGAAACTGTGACTTACCTTATAGAGGCTGTTCAAGCACTTGTTACAGCTACCAAGAGTAGAGAATCTTTTGTTATTGTCGTGGCTTACACTCAAACAATCACTCTCTAACCGATCAACACTCTCATCTCCAACAAGCCTCCCTTCTCCATCCACACTAAACGCATCTGAACAACTCAAATGATGCAACCTTATCCCACAGTAACAGTCAACAACGCCGCACGTCTCGTTAGGACTCGCCAGCTCAATCCCTCTCCTCCTCAGAGACTTCTCCAAACCGTCAACGCAAGTCTCCGAGTCATCAGGAAGCAAAGGCATATCCTCTTCCGTGGTGGTCGCGTTTCTAACGGCGGAGTTGGGAATGGAGCGGCTGAGAGCGGTGGCTGAGTAAGCGGAGTAGAGCCACGCGCCTAGCACGGGGCAGCATTTTCCTCGGTGGAGCTTTTTGCCGGTGCAGGATGACTTGATTCCGTGGAAGAGGTCTTCCGGTAGATCGAGTGGGCAGCCGGAGAAATCGGATTGCTCCGGGAAAGCGGGGATGGTGGCGGGTGGGGATGATTTGACCCGGAATGGCTGGACGGTGAGTGAGTCTTGGTTTGGTGAGACGGGTGATAGAATGGTGAAGATGACGATGAGGGAAATGAAAGACGGCGCGTGATGGAACATCGCGGGAAGCATGGAGACAGGAACACAAAGAAGTGAAGGAGAGTGGAAGAGAGATGTGTAATAAAATATCAGCAAATGGGATCTAGTCGATGGTAATTTAATAATTGTACTTTTTTTATTGGATTTAATACTTTTATTTGATTTTTCGTACATTTGCATATACACTATATATACTACTCCCTCTGTTCCTAAAAGATCCATATCCTAGCTTTTTCACACTTTTTAATAAAACACAATAAATTTGTATTGTTTTTTGTATTTATCTTCTTTCCATAATTTTTAGCCAATAGAAAATCAATTAGTGCAATTAAGTTTTTTGAAGTTTACAATTAGTTAATAAAACATGCATTGAAAATGTAAAAAATGGATCTTTTAGAAACAAATTTTTTTTGTAGAATATGTATCTTTAAGGAACGGAGGGAGTAGTTGATTTTCCCGTGTTCATGCACGGGTATAAATATTTATAAAATAAATATATTATAATAATTTATAGGTATAACTTATATTAATAATATATTAATTTAATTATATATATATAATTTTAGATATGTTATATTTCATCAGTTTTGTTGTTTTTACGGTTGATTTATCTATCATTTGAATATATTAGATTATATCTATTTCTATGAATTCAATTATAATCTTTTTTATTCTAAATATATTAAATTTTTGATTAATTGTCTTATTTGTATTTATACCGGTTGTTATCTTAGAAATATAACTATATCTAGTAAGATTATGTATAACTTAAGATTTTTTTGTGCTTAGAAAGCAAAATAAAACTAAACTGTCTAATTCTAAATTACATACATAATTAACTAATAAATATTTGAAATCTTATGAACACATATCAGTAGTTACAATATTTAGATTGTTTAGATGGTAAACTGGAATTTATTATAAATAATTTTAAAAATAAGGATTCTGATTTCCTTAAGTATTTTGATTATGGTTATATTAACTTCCACAAACATAAAAACATAAAATTAAAAATCAAAAGAGTTATTAAGAAAATATAGAATTTTAAATATTAAAATAAAATATATCTACTTCGTTTTTTTGTTAAATTCTATAGTGTTATGATATTTTAAAATAATTTTTATTTGATAAAAAAATGTTTATTATTAAAGTTTATTTTTAGTTTTGTTTTAAATATCTCTTAAAATATGCAGTAAAAATGTTATTATTTTTGAGAAATTATATTATATAACTAAAATAGAATGTGTATTTTTCCTGTAATTGTAAGATATTATAGTTAAATAAATATACTAAAGATAAAAAATATATTTCAAGAATACTAATTATAAAAACAATTTTCAATTAGACCTATATCAGTTTATGTTACTTAAATATTTTATGTAATTATCTAATAAAATAGATAGATATATAGAAAAAAATAATTACTTGAAAATATATATATTTATTGTTTAAAATTATTATTTTAAAACAAAAAATATTTCTTTTTCTAATATCAAGATTAGTTGTGTGAATTTTTTTTATGGAATCACATTATATACAAATATTGTTTTTCATCTAAGAAGATATTTATAAAGTATTTTATTACTTCAAAAGTATATTTTATGTTACTTAAAATATATTTAAATTAAATATTACTATTTTGTGAACTTTCTTTTTTTATGAAACAATATTTATATATACTTATATTTTCGTTTTTAAATAGTTTTGTAATTTTTATAAATGTTTCCTTTTTATTTTACATTGTTATTTAGAAAATTTTTAAAAGGAAATAATAATATTTAAATATATATTTTTAATTCATTAAGGGTATCATAGTAATTAACCAGCGTGGGAGTTAACGTGAACGCGACATATAAAAAAGTGACTTCTCAAATAATATTATAGAGATATATATAGCTATAATGTTTTTGAGCATCAAACATTATTGTGAATCTGTTAAAAGTAAAAAAAAAAGTCCCAAGTTTTGTGATGTTTATTGTATTTTTGTGTGTGAAATTCTAATTTATTTACGGTTATTAATGTCAGGAACATCGTTTAAATCGTAATCCATCACATTCAGGTAAAATTTAGTTGCAGAGTTTATATAAGAATTAAGAAACATTGGATTATTAATAATACTTAGTGGGATCTTTTTTATAAGTGAATCACGGACGATTATTCTTGGCATTGGAACTTGAAAGACCCATACGTGACTGACTGATCGACAGGTTTGATTTTCTTTTTTGTAATTCCAATACATTGAGTTTGGAAGGATTCGTCTAGATCTGTTTTTGTATAATCTAACATAGTTAGTTTTGATATGTAATATGCATAATCGACAAAGTAATACAATAGCAATAGTATGTCTTCATGAACAAACTAGAAGTCATACAAAACTAGCCTGTTTATGTAATCTGTAATGGGTTTATCCATTATTCCATAATACCCTTTTCGAATAGTAAAAACCAAAAAGGTAAAAGAGTGGGAGGAGCTCCATGTTAAAAAGGTAACGTCAGGCACGCGAATAGTTGTAGACTAGTGAAAGCTGAACTTAAAAAGAATATTACAAACCCTTTTTTGGGGAACGCCAGAACAAAAAAAAATGCAAAACGGATTTTTTATTTCTAATCACAAAATTTTCATTATACATCACAGTGACGACAGACGATTAAATACATAAGAATTACAAAAGATAAATGTATAAACTCACTGTGTTCATATGTCATTTCACAAGTGGCTACTGTTACAACTTTGTTGTTTCATATGTACTGGTTGAAAGTTGAAACTTGACTATTGAAGTTTTTTTTTTTTGATTATTGAAGTTTTATTTATGATAAACAGTAATTGTATTTTTCCAGTGTACTGATTGAAAGTTGAAACTTGATTATTGAAGTTTTGTTTATGATAAACAGTAATTGTATTTTTCACCAGCTCTAAAGTGATTAGAGCATCTCCAACCCCACTCCATAATTTACTGCAAAATGGAGTGGGAAATGGAGTAATGAACAAACAAAAAAGTGATTACTCTATAAATGGAGTAATGACTTTTTTATTTGTTCACTACTCCATTTCCCACTCCATTTTGCAGTAAAATTATGGAGTGGGGTTGGAGATGCTCTTAGTAGATCGAAAGAGAACAAAGCAAAAGCAAAATGGGACGACAAAAAAGAAGAAAATGAACAGTCAATCAAAATGATTCTCTATCATTGGAAGATGAACTGATCATCATACCTACATATGCTTTACGTATATACATATACAAATAATAAATCGGTGGTCAAGAAGATGTACTTAACGATTATGTTTATCATGGGCTAAGGTCATATACTTCTCAAGTAGAAATCCAGGGCTGAACATGTGATAAAGCCAAACTTCTGGGGCATTTCCGAAATCCCCCTTAAATTAGTCCATCCATTTCATACAACTTGAATCGTTGAGCAAATTGAAGACAGTTTAAGGTTGTTTGTTCAGACAATAACTCATGTCGCTCAGAAGTTATCAAGATTAGTTTGTAAATGTATGCAGTACAGAACTAGAGACACATGCTATCTCTTCTCTTCATCTTTTTTCTTCCTTATGAGAGATGTGTATATGAATCAGCCCCTACTGTTAGCAAGAAGTTTCACTCCCCTAACATCACAATCAAGTGTGGAGAGCCGCAACCTTTTGAGACAAAGCATCCGCTGCATCACTGTTCGAGTCCCCGTGCTGCAAAAGAAAAATCAAGAATGTGAAGAACAAGTGTATACATACAAACTTGTAATAAAATACATTTTTTAAATGCGTTTCTTGATCTTTTACCTCGGACTGGTTCCTTTGTTTCACACCAATGCATTTAGATGCACTGATGCTGGCACTTTTCAGCAAGCTTCGGGCACTGTAACCCGGCTGGCTTATTCCGTTCATGTAATTTGAGCCCTCCTGTGAAGAATTTAGAGGGCTTTCGGGTGTTGGTGCTAAAGAAGCTGCAGGTCTGTTCTCTTCCTTAGGAGCAGGGACTCTCTCTCTGAAACAGAAAGAAGGTACCAAACACAAAACACAACGGATGTGAAGATGCAAGTTTCAAAATCAGTTTTACAAACAAAACAGCAAAAGAGATAGTGTACCTAGGCAAAGAAGCGTGTCGTTGTTGAAGAGGAGCGCTTCTCTCACCCTTACCGTAATGTTCTTCAAGATGTGCAAACTGTCTCTTAAACCGATCAACACCACTGCATTTCATTTTGGATTTTTAAAAAAAATATTTATATCTTAGTACTTAGTAGCTCGCAGAGAGTTTTGAATATAGATTGTAAGTAATGGTTATAATATACCTAGGGTACATGAAGCTCGTCTGTTCTCCACCTCGGAGATATTCTTGTAGCATCTGAGGATGATACTCTAATATCTGCAGTGTTTCACATGCAAGTTTTGTAAGAACAACAGTTCAACGATGAATACATGTGGAAAGAAAAACAGTATTGAGTCTATGAGATTAGTGTACCTCTCTATAGATCAATTCCCTCACGTCTTCTTTCATTATCTTCCTTCTTTCAAACTCAAACTCAAGTTTCGGAATCGGTTGAGTAGATGGTTCCCGATCCACGTTGGCCAATCCATAAAAGTAAGGATCTGCCAGTGCCTGTATATACTCACACACACACATGTTCAATGGTCTGATACGTTGAAGTGCAAAATAGTATAAAGAACCTTTACCTCTTCAGCTGTGGGACGGTCTTTGGGATCAAATGCAAGAAGGCGGTGCAGTAACCGAAGGGCCAACGGGTCTACATGAGGAAATTTGTGAGTGAATGGTACTGGCGGTTTTCTCCTCATGTTGCCGAGATATCGCCTCGCCTTTTCATTACGGATCTGCAACAAAAGTACAAAACAAACCAAAATATCAATCATCATTATATATAATGAAAAGAACTCATGTCTCGTAATGCTATAACAATAATACTCTCATTTGTGGACCACCAACCAGAAACTGACATACATATGGACTGTACGTTTCCTACCCATTAATATGAATCTAACGGGACCTAGGCCTAGACTACTTGATAAAACCTTGGCTGGAAAGCACAAGTAAATAAATAGCCATAACTTATAGAAGTTTAACACGTTATAAGGCATCAACGAA